AGGGGTTGGGCCCCCGAGGGGCAGGAACGGACGGAAGTAAGGTAGTTGACGAGCCGAGGAGGGGCGCCCCAAGTAGGGCCGGGGAAGGCAAGGAAAGCCTGCCCGGCACCGGACAGGCAAGGGGCGAGTCCTGCAGTAAGGTAGGCAACCGTAAGAGAGGGCCAGAGAAAAGGATGCGCAGAGAGAGGGGGCGCGCACCGGGTAGGCAGAAGACACAGTCGGATGAGGAGGATTCGCATAGACGAGGCGTAACAACGGCGAAGGAGGTCGCCGCTTCTGTGGAGAAGCAGAGGCTGGGTGGAGGCGAAGGTGAATGGCAAAGTAGCGACGAGCGAAGTTACCTGTGGCACGAGCCGAACTAGAGGCAACGCGGCGGAGTCTTGGGAACGAGGTAGAGAATATGAATGGTAGGTAAGAGAGTCGGCATGAGGCTGGAGGCTTACGTTTTCTGCTGTCGATGACTGCATTAGGTTATTTTCGTACTCTCTACTCGATTGCCGTGCGAGCGGCCCACCCGCCCTCCCACTAACAGCCAAATGGCTGATCGGAATTGTCTTTGAAGGGTTTGGGTACCGCGGGAGTGTGGTCGCAGACGCAATGGCCTTCCCCACAATAAGTTAGTAGTGAGTACGGATCACGCGATGACGTTTAAGCAATGCAGCCCCGCTATCACCCTTCACGGTTGTGTCATGACCTCGAGTCCATTTACGCTCTTATAGGCGTTGAACAAGACCAAAATGCCTCCTATTGGCAACAGAACACGCTGCACAACTTTGACCTTCTTTCCTTAGTGAAACAATTGAAGATTATCGTCCTCTGTGAAAAGTAATCAACTATTTGTTACTTGACGGCTTACCTGCTAGCAACACGGAGGACATCTGTGTCTGGGTTGATGGTTAATGCTTCATGTCGGACATCGTTATTTGTCAGCACTTAAGGTAGCATCAATATTTGGCTCTCAACCGAAGGGTATTGATTTGTGGAGAAGGCGCTGCGGCAGCAATGGCGGGCAGGACGATTGAGCAGGGTGTTAGCCTGCTGACGGCTGGCGAGATTAGAGTGGTAGGACACAAATGGGTGCATTGGGAAAAGTCTCGATCTTGCAATTATACAGGAGCTCAAGTATGGGCCCGGGCCGAATCGGTTGCAGCTTGCAATCCCGCTGCGGAAACAATACCCATGTCCTCGCGCCTCCTGACCACGCCATGCAACACAGCCCAGCACCAAACATCCCCAACGTTTGCATCCGGATCCCCTGTCATCTAGGTACAGCCAGCAGACGAGCAGGGGTTGCTAGGCCCGCAAAAGGCATTCCAAACGCAGTGCAACACTTACCCCCGTGCTTACCACACCCAGCTCCGAGAACCCCCCATCGAATCCCCTTCCCCCCATGCGACTACTTCATAATCCGCCAGCGCACCGTGCGCTTAAAATAACCCAACCCGTATCCCAGCAGCAGCGCCCCGATCCTAAGAAGGACTAACTTGGACAATCACCATTCGAAGCACACGAAGCACACGGACACGCGAGACAAATACACACACGCACCCGTTCATCACCCCCCAGGCCGTCCTGCCGGTGGGGGCGGTCCCCCGCGACGCCATGGAGGAGTATCTGGAGCTCATTAACAGGTGGGCCTGATGGTGGCGAGGTCCTAGTCCTGGAAGCCTTTTGCATGCCGTACAGGTCGTGCCCTGGTGTTGTAGGTAGGTAGGTGGGTAGGTAGGGACCGCCCTTACCTGTTTCTTTTCCAGGGCCGCGGCCTAAGGACCGTCATACATTTCACAGACGCAGGGATTTTGGCGGTGGGAGTGCGTGCGTGTGTTCGTGTGTGTGCGCGCGTGTGCGTGTGCGTGTGTGCGCGTGTGTGGGTGTGTGTATATGAGTGTGTATGTGAAGGTTACAAGTATTATCTGACCGGGCCTGACACTGGCCACAGGGGCTGCTGCCCAGCCCCGACAGAGGAAAGACCGCCTAAGCTCTCTCCCTAAGCGGACGGGAGAGGGGCGCTAGAGGGGCCCCTCTGTCTTGCCCCCACCTAAGCAGCAGAGAGAGCAGCAGGTCTCTGCTAGCTCCGCTCTCCTCCCCCCGGGGGGTGGGAACGTGTTTGCGTTACGTGACAATCACAAGGCGGCACGTCTTAGGTATGGGGTTCGAAACACATCCAACCCGCTCTTCCCACTCCCCTTGCTTTTGGCATATGACTTTTCCGCCATCTCCTTCCAACCCCCCCCGGCTCCGAAACCCTACCCGGATTAGAAACCATCCTTTTTTTCTTGGATCATGATCCAAATCAGCGCCTTTTATGCATCCGATGCATCATACTCTCTTTGCCGTCTTCAGCCTGTTTCCAGGTCCCCCCTGTACCTCCTCCTACTCTTCCTTCCCAAAGCCGTAAGCGCTTTTCATACTAAGGGTTTTGGGAGTGCGTGCGTGTGTGTGTGTGTGTGTGCGGGCGTGTATGTGTACGAGTGTGTATGTGTGGGGGGGTTATACTTGCCATAAACCCAGCCCGCTTTTTCTTCTCTTCGATCCTTCCTGAACGCCGCCTGGCTCCTCCGCCGCTGCTGCCGCCGGCGCTGCGACCAACCCCCCGCAACGCTCCGAAACCTTTTTTTTTCAGGTACCACCACGTTTCGCTCTCCGCCACAAGGTACGTACCTACGTACGCACGGTTGTACGGCGTTCGGCACGCCTGAGTGCATACATGCCGGATGATGTATTTCGCCACGGCTAATTTGAAGGCGATTCATCTGCTTTAAATGCCTCTCGCGCCACCCGTTCGTCTGTCTGTTTGTTTTGAGTTTTCTTACGTTTGTATGTTTCCATGCATGTACGTCTGCGTATGTATGTATGTGTACGATCCTCGCAGATCGTTTTATCGGGAGAGTCCTGTCGTACAGGCGGCGGCTGTCTCCGCCGCAGGCCTGGCGGGCGGTGTCAGCAAGCCGCCCCTTCAACTGCTGGACTGGTCAAATTCGTACTTGCACCTCAGGTTCCTACAGGTACGAATGTACGGCATGGAATGGAATTATATGCTTACAACATTCGTACACGCTCGTGTGTACATCGGTTTTTCATTGAATTATATTTGCTCCAATTCTTGAACAACTTAATCCCCTCCCCTTTGTACTGCCGTTGGTCGTTACCCCCGTACTTCCCGTACTGAAGCTGTCGTTTCCCGTAGTAATGCTCCTCCCGTTTGCCCTTTTGCCCTTTCTCCACGCGCGGGATTCTCCCCGCCCAAAACACACACACACACATACACGCACACACGCACACATACACACATACACACATACACACATACACACATACACACACGTCCACGCACACACATGCATGCGGCGAAGTCTGAGGACGCTCGGCGCCGCACCCGTCTTCCCGAGCTGTATCCCGGGCGGCAAGTGCTGGCCATTCTGGGCGTAGTGCACTGTCCCATGTGCTCCAATGTACAGCAGGTACGGCAGGGGTGTACGGCATCGGACATAGAACCCGGGCCAAACCGTTTACTTTACGTGCGGGTTAGTGATCTCCGGGCGGCAAGGAGAAAATATGTTGAAGAGGGAATTGGAGATGGTGGTGCACCCTTCGAGGGGAAGGAGGAGGGGGAAGGGTGAAGGGAAGGGGGACGGGGGAGAGAGGGGGAGGGAGAGGGAGGGGGGGGGAAAGGGGGAGGGGAAGGAGGAGGAGAAGGAGGAGGGGCTGGAGAGAAGGAGGGGGAGGAGAAGGAGGAGGGGTGGGGGAGGAGGAAGGGAAGGGGAAGGGGGAATAAGAGGGCAAGGGGGAGGAGGAAGGGGAGGGGGAGGGGAGATAAGGAAAAGGGGAGGGAAAGGGGTCCCCATTCCGGCAATAACTGTGTTGCCGTACTCCATAATGTGACTTTTGATTGTCCGGTGGTGATGATTCCCCATCCCGAAATTCGCAGGCGTACGACGAGTTCAAGAAGATTTGTCGGTGAGCCGTCGACGTGTCACTGCTGCTGCTCTGCTCCAAACCTTAGATCTGTACGATGATGTAGGACGCGAAGAAATAATTTTAAATAATAATAATAATAATAATAATAATTATTATTATTATTATTATTATTATTATTATTATTATTATTATTATATAATAATAATAATAATTATTATTATTATTATTATATAATAATAATTATTATATTTATTATATTTATTATTATTAATTGTTGTTATTATTATTATTATTATTTCAGTGGCCAGGACAAGGGATATGAGACGAAAGGCATGCAACATGATGCCCCCGAGTTGCCATGCGCCGCCAAATTCTCTTCCCTGCGCCCAACTGCTGCCCGTTGTCTTGTAACCGAAAACCAACTCCAACTAACTCCCAACTAACTCCCCATTCCCATCTCTGGTATCAGCATCACTCGTCTGTGGTTCGTCTTTCCAATTTCCCCCCCCCTAATTATTTGTATCGCATACGTGAAATATACGTGTTTGCACGTGCTGACGTGCGGACGTCTTTTTGCTTTTTCGTGGTCCCCCCTGTCAGATCCTACCCCGAGGCCCTCGTGACCCGATGTTTCGTGTTCGAGCCCAGCGAGGACCATATTCGTCAGGAGCGAGATTGTCAACAGCTGTCTGACTTGGTCATGTTTCCCCCGGGTACGGGTGTACGGGTGTTGTGTGTGCGGATGGGGGGGTCGGTCGGGGTGTGTGTGTGTGCGTATGTATGTATGTATGTATGACTTAGATTACACTGTGGGCTGCGAGAGCCGGGGGCCGAAGCCGAAACACAGCGCAAGGGTCGGGAGCACACAGCACAAGTCGGTTAGTCTTGTGTGCTCCCGACCCCGACTCAGACTGCCAACACTCTACGCAGCCACTCCGCAGCCCCTCCATCCGGGGATGGCGCTGCATTGAATATGTATGTATGTATGTATGTATGTATGTATGTATGTATGTATGTATGTATGTATGTATGTATGTATGACGTTGATTACACTGTGGGCTGAAAAGCCGGGGGCCCAGGGCCGAAGCACAGCGCGGGGGGCGGGTGCATACGGCTGGTTAGTCTCATGCACTCCGCCCCCGGGTCAGGCCGCACGGGAAACGACGGCCGGCACGCAACAGCGCTTGTTTGGCGCTCCAACTAGACGGGATCTATGCCCGTTGGTCTCCTAACATAAACGAAGTCGCAACTGGGGGGCTCTTCCTGCCGACCGAACGAACCGAGCATCTCAGAGAGCTCGCTACCAGGACTTGGGCGACCGGGAGCCCGACGAGTCTTCCCGGGCTGGGGAGGTCACCAAGCTCAAAAATCCTCACGCAAAAAAGAGCGCAAAGAGTATGTATGTATGTATGTATGTATGTATGTATGTATGTATGTATGTATGTATGTATGTATGTATGTATGTGTGTATGTGCATGTGTAAGAGAGGGGGGGAACAAATTGTAAAAGGTAGCAGTCTTTAGGAGCGAGGGGCTCAATGCCAAGTAGTAGTGACAGGGCAAAGGGAAAAGGAAAGATGATAATGTTATATTATATTAAATCGTGCGATGTGAACGTAAAAATGCAGCAAGAATGCGGGTATGAGCCTGGAGGGAGAGCGACATACATACCACATGACCATCACGGTGACCGACGCGGGCGGGAGCTGGGGGGAGAAGCGTGTGTAAGAAGCACCAAGAAGTCTTTTAAGACTTCGACTCGACCTGACCGTGTACACTGACGGGGTACGGCTTGAGAGCAAGTGCCTATTTAGGACCATATTTGCCCTGTAGGATTGCTTGCCCCGGTAGGAGGATGTGACGGTTTTTTCCGTTAGGCCTACCTTCAAAATATTTTTTGCTTTGAAATATGTTTCCCTTAAAATTCCGGTTTTTTTATTCTATATATACCAGGTGGTATTAGTCATTTGGAGCAGCACCTGGAGGTTTGGATGCACGATTTGGCGGCTGCTCTTATTACGGGTACGACACAATGGGGGGAGGGATTGGGTACGGCAGTGAGCGGGAAAGGATTTGGGTACGACAGTTGGAAGAGGGAAATTAGGGGGATTGACGTCAGTTATGACGGCGAGGTAAAAGAAGCGGGGGGCGGGATATGCCCTAGGTTAGCTTGCATGATTTTTTTTTGTGTGTGTGTGCGTGTGTGTTCGGGGAGGGGAGGGAAGAGATGGGGAGTGTGCGCGGCGATGTGAGAAGTTTTAATGCGCATTCCTTCACGTGACCCCCCTCCCTGTCCTCACTCTGCCTGTTAATCTCCCCCCCTTTCCCCCCCTCTCCCTTCCCCCTCTTTCCCCCCCTCCCCCTCTTTCCCCTCTTCCCCCCCCTCCCCCTCTTTCCCCTCTTTCCCCCCCTCCCCCTCTTTCCCCTCTTTCCCCCCTCCCCCTCTTCCCCCCCCATCCCCCTCCCCCTTCAATCTTGCAGAGTTTGGGAAATGGATGTTGATGGCCAACCCGGCTCTCATGAAGCTCAACGGATACCCGGACTCGGGTGCGGCTGGAGGGGGGGGCCGCGGACCGGAGGTGGTGTGGGGGGGAGGATGTGAGGAAAGCGGTTGGGGGGGGAGGACTAGGGTGAGGGGGTGAGGAAAAGAAAAATGGAAGACAAGGGCAGAGGAAAGGAGAAGGGTTGGAGGAAGGTGTCAAGTTAAGTGATGAACAGCGGTATGAAGGCGATAACACTTGTTTCAGAAGCAACTAAAAGCGGACAAAAACTCGTTCCCTCGGCTTAGCTATATCCTATAATCTGCTTCCCCTCTCGTCCCTTTCCCCCCCGGGGTAACGGTAACGGTAACGGTAATGGGTGGGAAACAGTTTACAGTTGGTGAATTTCTTGGGGGCTCGCAAGTGTGTATTCCCGGCCCTCCCCCCCCGTCTAAAATACTCCACAGCAACCTTTGACCGTGGACACTGCCCCCCTAAAACCCGCACTTGCCCGCCGCATTTTGGCTATCACCCGGCTGGTCACTCGCTCGTCCGCTTTCGTACTATACGATGGCGGCGGCGTACGACAGCCGACTTTACAGGTGCAAGCGCGGTACTGGACGAGATGCAGAAGCGGTTGGCAGCGGTGGACGGAGAGATGAGGGAGCGGCAACGGCGGGGCCGGTTGTTTAAGAGCAAAGGCGACATGTGTTTGCTCAGCGGCTCGCCCCGAGATGCGGCCGAAAATTACAGGTAGGGCTGTAGCACTGGGTTTTGTGTTTGTGATGTGATGTGCTACAGCTAAGGACTGATGCAGCTCACTGCAGCGGACTGCGCTGGAGGTCTTTTTCAGAAAATATTGTTCTTTGGGGGAATTTGTACAATATAATATATTTATATATTATATTATATTATATTATATTATATTATATTATATTATATTATATTATATTATGTTATATTATGTTATATTATATTATATTATATCATATTATATCATATTATATTATATTATATTATATCATATTATATCATATTATAACTACAGCGTACGTGTGTCGGTGCTCAGTGTGTTTTGGGAAGGCGAAGGTGATGGAAGCATCTCGCTGTATGCGGTTTCAACACACTAGATTGAACGTCGCTGTCTGCCTATCTGCCTGCCTAACTGTCTATCTATCTGTCTATCTATCTGTCTATCTACCCGTATATCAATCTGTATATTATTATCTGGTACATCTGTGTACGCCTGCATGTTGCAGGGCGGCTCAGGAGCTCGCAAAGGCCTGCGGCGACTGGGTTTGGTACGGCACCGCAATGGAGGTGGGTCGTACCTTGTACGGCAGGGTGAGAAGGAGGATTCTTCAGGTAGTTGGTAGAAGCGGTTATAAATGTGCCCTCGGCTTATTCAGTTTTAAGGTGGCGGGTTTTGGCCAGCCAGGTGACAGTCACGTGAATGAAAAAGGGGAAAAAAAGGGGAAAGAAGTGAAAAGGGCGATGATGACGAAGCAGGTGGTGTACTTGAATGGCTCCTCCTTACGGAACCACACCTCCTAAAACCCTAAAAAACGCATAACGAAATGTGTAACTACTCTAACCGCTTTTTTTCCTAAACCCCAGTAGTAGTTATTCTTCGTCCCCGGTGTTGACCGACTTCCCACATTCCTATTCCTACTCCCTCTTCCTTCTCCACCTTTCTAACCCCGTCCCCCTCCTCCCGCTTTCCTTGGCATCAGCGTCACTCGCTCGTGGTTCGTCTTCTTCCCCTCCGCTCCCCGTCCTCCTCCTCACCCCCAACCCCCGCTCGCCCCCCCTCCCTGCAGGGTATTGCCGCGGCGCGCATTCACGAAATCCTTACCGACCCCGCCGCGGCGGCCGCCATAGGGCCCACAACCGGCGCGTTCGGGCTAGATGCCGTCTCGGCGGGGGATACGGGGGGCAGCGGAGGCAGCACCGGTACGACAGGAGCGGCAGCCGGCGGCGGCGGCGGTGGCGGCCGTGGTGGTGGCGGTGCTGGTGGTGGTGGAAAGCAGTCAGGCCGTACGCGCGACGGCGCTGCACGTGGTGGTGGCGGTGGTGGTGGAGGAGGTGGTGGAGGAGGTGAGAGAGTGGGTTTTTTCGGGTTTGCTGCAAACTCGTACACCTCCTTT